GCTCATGGATTACACTGTTTTCATGAAAAATGCTTTCATGCACTTGAGGAATATTTATGACCATTCCCTACCTCCAGGAAAGGTTACAGGATGCTCAGATACAAAATTCTTAGAATAATGATAGTTAAAGAACACATACAATATATATGTCATATACCAAGTTAGATGGTGTCATGTGAAGAAAAAGAAAGTAGGTATAAAAGAGAGTGGATTGGGTGTTATTTTATACTGGGAGTTCAGGAAGGCCTGCAGACAAGGTGACAATTGAACAGAGACCTCAAGGAAGACAGAGGGGGTGACATGAGGTTATTTGGGGGTGAGGGGTTATGTAGGAAAAAAGGCAGTGCCAAAGCCCTGAGATGACCCTTGTATTAGGTATTAAAGGCTCTAAAGGATCCAGAATGTTGAAATAGAATAGACTCAAGAGGGCACAAAAGAAAATAGTAGAGTGCATTATACATAGTGATGGTACATACATAATGGTTTCATGGTTCCCTTTGTTCAGGTGTGTGTGTGTGTGTGTGTGTGTGTGTGTGCGCACGCGCACACACAAAAATTGCTGGATCACAATGTAAAAGGCTTGTCTTAATTTGAGACACAGTAAAAATAATCTGGAATTCAATGCAATAAATGCAAGAACAGTTTAAAAGGCCAGTTTCTGCTAATGAGGGAAAAATAATGAGTGAAGAGCCCAGCAGAGAGCCAGTTGCACTGGTCCTGGGCACTTGACCCATGGCACCTGTTCTTCCGTGAGCATTCTCTGAGATCTCCTTCTACTCACTCTTGTGCTGATGAGAGAAAGCCCCACAGAATGTAAGAAGAGTTCCAGATGCATCGGGCACCAGCTGTAGAAGAGTGAATTAGAACTCACACCTCCCTGACTCTAAGTCAGTGCTTTTCTGCTCTGCAAGCCTGCTCACTCTGTCAATGCTTCACAGAGAAGAGGAAATGCTAAGGTTGAAATAAAGCAGAATCGTGAGAGCTGAGCAGACATAAGGGAGGGTTCGTTCTGGCTGTGGGAGGAGAGAGGCTGTGGAATTGTGCTCTGAGATGGAGAGAAGAAAGGGGCTGAGAGGAATAAGTTGCAAGAAACCACTTCAGTATGAAGGACACCAAATGTACAGGATCTTGAGCCCACCCTTTTCATTATTTCATCAGCCTGACTGTTTCCCCAGAAGACACAGTTATTAAAAGCTTTACTTCTCCCCAGGATGACTTCCCACAGTGCTAACTCTGGCACCCCCAATGGCCTCACTCACTGGATTTGGTTCTACCGGTCCTTCCTTCCTTGGACAATTGATATGGAAAGGGCAAGAAATGCAGGTCAGGTGCTGGTTTTCCAGAGCAGTTGAACATCTTAGAGAGGCACAGAGAGGATGCTCTTAGCCTGTGGCTGAGGAGCTGCAGGTGAGTCTGCAGAGGGAGGTCCAGAGGCTGAATTCTCAGAGCTCCTCATTAAATGGACTGTTTTGATGTTGCTCAGTTCTCTAAGCAATTCAGTCCCTTCGGAACCAAGGGGCCATTAATAAAAGGCAACTTATCTGCCAGTTTGGTCTCCATGGGATCACCTTGGGGGCCAGCTGAATATTCCCTTCCTACTGATGGGTCCACCTCCCCTTGAATAAACATCTCCCCAGGGTATGTAAGTGCTCATGCAGGACACATGGACAGGATAACATCATGAGCTTCTGAGCTGCTGTGAGTCACATGGAGTGTCTGACCCAGAGATTTAGTGATGTCCCTGACCACACCCATCCCAAACAGGAACCTCCCAGAAACTTCCCCTTGACCTCAGTTTTGAAAACCAGAGATCAATTCTGAATATGCACTTGATGGGGGGTAAACTTTGGCTGTAGAGGTAGGGTGTCCTTTGTCTAAGTTCGCCAGATCCAATTATTCAATTTTTTCATCTGGGGTAAATGCATTCACATCTTTAAACTCACATAAATACATATTTTTGTTCTGGCCAGCAGGCTATTCAGTGCATTCCTATACAATGGGAAAGAGTACTTTGAATATAAAACCAGTACTTGATAGTGACTTAGAGTCACTGCCAAACATATGTGTAAAGAACTAGATAAAGATTATTATTGGACCATCAGTGCTCTGTTGCAGCTACTTAACGCTGCCATTGTAGTGTGAAAGCACTTGTAGGCAATACCCACACTGATGGGCTTGGCTATAGGTATTTATTGTCTGTGGATTATGTAACAACTAAGTCCAAACTGGGGTGACTTCAAAAAACAGGAATTTTTTACATCAGGTTCTTGATGCCAGAAGTCTTTTCTCAGGATGTCAGAGAGGCTTCACTCCCCAGAGGCTCTAAGGGAGGCTGTGCTCCTTGCCACTTCCTGCTCTTCATGACTCCAAGCCTCCCTGGGCTTTGTGGCTGCATCACTCCAATCTCAGGAGACATATGGCCTTCTTTTCTCTGTGCCTCTCCACTGTGTATCTTATAAGGAGCCTGGTCTTTGGTTTTAGGGTCCAACTGGATAATCCAGGATGATTTCATCTTGAGATCCTTAATTATATCTATAAAGAACCTTTTTTCCCAATAAGGTCACATTTACAGGTACTGGGGGTTAGAATGTAGACATATCTTTTACGGGGCTACCATCACCCTATAAAGCCTCTTTACAAAAACAGGCTGGGGGTGGGATTTGCTCTTTGGGGAGTCCTTTGCTGACCCCTGATTAAAGTGTGTAGATTCAGACATGGGGAGTTAGTAAACCAGATACAGAATGGTGAAATTATAAGAAGAGTTAAATCTGGCTTCCTTTCTGCTAGTGGGAAGGTCCAGGAAATCTACAGCCCACAGGCTCTGCTCAGTCTCCCCAGACCCTGGCTGATGTAACTGTCAGACCCATCCACCATCCTGACTTTCCTCCCAATATAACTCTCCCTATGCCAGTGTCCATTAACGTCAACCTGAAGTACTTCAAAGCTTAGCTCTAGGAGAACTTAGCTGAATGGAGGCCCATTCATGAGCTGTCCTTGGTTTTTGCTGATGGTTCCAGTAACCTGGCAAGCAATTCTCTTACTGAGGCATCTTTCAATTCTATGGAATAGTGTATGGAGTACAGACTACCTGATTTAAATTATGGACAGAAGCAGTCCACCATGAGAGCCACGAGCCTCTGATATTGAGAATTTATTAACTTTATTATCTTAGAATAGATTAATAGAAAAAATCATCCAAAAATATTAGAATCATCTTAAGATGTGCAAATGAGACTGTATAACAGCACTTTGGAGAAACTGTACATCAGGTATTTCTTAACTATCATAAAAGAGTTTCCTTGATCATCAGCTCATATCAGACATGACAACAAAATATTTGAGGAATCTGCTTGAAGGTCATACAGAGGACAAATATACCTGCTACTGTCATGTATGTCATCTCTGTTCTGAAATTTCAAACCAATGCAACCAAAGAGTAAAAGCAATAGTAGGTTCATGTCTTGGGTAAAAGTACACTAATCACATTTACAGATGATAATATTGGATACCTAAAATGCATTAGAAGGCCATTGCAACTAAGAATTCATCTTGATCAGTCTTGATTTAAAAAACAAGTATGTATTGCCTGGCCGGTGCTGCTCAATGCTTGAGCATCAACCCATGAACCAGAAGGTCATGAATGGATCCCTGGTCAAGGCACATGCCTGGGTTGTAGGCTTGAGTATCTTAAACAAGTGCCACTCTCTTGGTCTTCGCACTGACTCTTCCCACAGCAGGGCACACACTTCCCCCAGATAACTTCACGACTCCCACTCTGTCTTCCTCCAGGACTCTGTTGAAATGTCACTTTGCGGGTCTTTCTGAACTCTCAGTAAAATACAACACCTCCATTCACTCCATTATATACCTGCTTTTCTTTTTCATAGCATCTGTCACTATCTGACAGAGCAGTGTTTTTTCTCCTTGGTAATTTATATTCTTTCTCCATCATTGGATTGTAGAAAACTTTATTTCTCAGCATTCTATACTCTTACCCTAGAAGATAGTCAATAAATTCCTCAAATGCATGAAAGAATTTTTCATTAACACTGTATATTACATGACTTTTGGGGGAAAGCTGAGTGTAGGACAATAATTCCTAATAACAGTTGTCACAGCAAACCCCTTAAAGGTGACATAATCAATATAAGTATACAATTTCTTGACTGAAAAACATAAATTCTAGCATTTCACTATGTTAATACCAACATGTGTAAAATTAATCATATTATTTTTCTTCCTAGTTTTGACCACTGCCACATGGTACAAGGCAATGATACATGAACTTCAGAATTTCTTCTTCTGGGACTTTCAGAGGAACCAGCACTGCAGCCTCTCATATTTGAGCTTTTCCTCTCCATGTACCTGGTCATTGTGTTGGGAAACCTGCTCTTTATCCTGGCTGTCAGTTCAGACTCCCACCTCCACACACCCATGTACTTCTTCCTCTCCAACCTGTCCTTGGTAGACATCTGTTTCACCTCCACCACCATCCCAAAGATGCTGGTGAACATCCAGACAAAGAGCAAAGTC